CTAAGGCTTCCTCACCTCCTTTTCTCTCTACCTCTAAGGCTTCCTCACCTCCTTTTCTCTCTACCTCTAAGGCTTCCTCACCTCCTTTTCTCTCTGCCTCCAAGGCTTCCTCACTTTCTTTTTTCTCTGAGCCTGACGGTTCCTCACTTACTTTCCTCTCTTCCTCCAAGGCTTCCTCACTTTCTTTTTTCTCTGAGCCTGATGGCTCCTCACCTTTTCTCTCTGCCTCCAAGGCTTCCTCACCTTTTCTTTCTGCTCCTGATGGCTCCTCATCTCCCTTTTTCTCTGCCATCAATGGCTCTTCAGTGGCCTGTAGCTTTTCTTCACCTCCCTCCTTCTTTCCTCCTAAGGGTTCCTCTATTTTCTTCTTCACCCCTATCTTTTCCTCACTTCTTTCCTTCTCTGCCCTCAAAAGTCTCTCACCTTCGTTGCTCTCTACTCCCAATGGCTCCTCTACTTCTCCCTCTGTCCCCAGCTTTTCCTCATCTCCTCTGCTCTCTGGCTCAAATAACTCATTTCCTTTCCTCTCTACCACCAGGGATGTCTCCACCCCATCCTTCCGTGCCCCCAGCTTCTCCTCACTTCCTTTCTTCCCCCTTCCTAGAGATTCTTCTGCTATTCTCTTCTCCACCTCCCACGTTTCTGCGCTTCCTCCCCTCCTGACCCTTAAAGGACCTTCTTCCCCTACCTCCCTCCTAGTCACCAAGGGTCCTTCCAACCCCTCTACCAGCAGCTCCTCCCATTCCTCGTTCAGGGTCACTCTCTCCACCCAGATGAAGGACCCCTCCTCTCCTCTAGAACCCCCTTGCCCGTCTCCTTCAGGGCTGCTCCTGGGAGCACTTTCCCCAATTCTGGAAGCTTCTTCCTCTAATCTGTCTGATAGCCTGGGGGAGCTGGTCTGTACCGCTGTCTCCAGGTTCCCACCCGTCTCTGCCGTGGCCTCCGAGTTGCGGCCTCCCACCCCCTCCCAGACCACCTCCACTATGCCCCTGTCCTCCTTCACCCAAGCTGGGAGTTCTGGCCGGCTGACTCCCTGCCTGTTTCCTATGGCTTCAAGCACCATCTCCTCCACCTTAGCCTCCAGCTCCGGGCCGGTGGCTACCTTGTCACAGTCTTCACACGAAACTCTCAAGCCCTCCCACACCACCTTGACCACGCCCCCTCCATTGGCCTCGCTCACCCGCCTGGGGCCTGCCAGCGACCCCTGACTCAGCTTCTGCTCGGGAGTGGGGCTGAGTCCGGGGCTGAGTCCAGGGCAGGGGCCATTGGTTTCTGGGGAGGCCCCTTGTTCCCCAGGGACCTGCTTTGGGGCCGGCAGAACCCCGATAGCCTCCTCTCTGAACTCAGAGGGGCATTCTGGGGATATGCCCACTGGTCCCACAGGCAGGGAGGCTCTCTTGTCCAGATCGGTCTGGCCTAGGGGAATCAGGGAAGGAGAAGAAAGGAAAGTCAGGAAGGCAGGGTGAGGAAGGACCAAGAGCCGACCCATCCTCGCTTTTCTTAGGTCACTCTCTTTTGGGGTAACCTGACTCCCAATACTCACCTTCAGAGCCTGCCTCAACAGTAGACTGGGAGAGAGGACGGTGACCCTGTAGGGATGGCAGAGACAAGATCAGACCAACCCGTATCCCCACTCTTAGCCTCCCTGCATACTGGGACCTCATCCACTTCTCAGACACCCTCAATATCTCCCCATTACCTTCAGGACCAAACTCTACATTGCACCTCAGTCTTCCTCACCTGTCTTTTTTTTTTGAGACAGAGTCCCAAGCTGTTGCGCTGGGTAGAGTGCTGTGCCATCATAGCTCACAGCAACCTCCAACTCTGGGGCTCAAGTGATTCTCTTTTTCTATTTTTATTTATTTTTGAGACAGAGCCTCAAGCTGTTGTCCTGGGTAGAGT